GTCGCTCCCAAGAGCTTGTATTGCTGCCTGACATTTGACAAGGACTTAGTAAATCACCCAGCCTCAGCCTCTGGTTTCCCCAGTCTGTCTGTTCGCGGTGATGAACGATCCTGCGACTGAATCAGTGTCGTGGAGTATTTCCCAGGCCCTTGCCCTCCTGTGGCACCACCTCTCTTCCCAGGCCCGCACATGTCTGACAGCCCCTCCGCCTCCCGCAGTGGGCTCTCAGTCCCCCGTGTCCCTGGCCTGCAGTGCCGCAGCCTCCCTGTCCCCGTGCCTCTTGCCCACCGCCTTGTGAGCTCTTGCTGGGCGCAGCCAGGGGTCTCCTCACCCTCTGTTCACCCCCATCCCTGGGCGCAGCCTCCAGTGGACCTAGAGGACGGAAAATAGCTCATAGTCCGGAGCGCTGCCAGGCGCACTTCCTTTTTGTCTTTTCTCAGCAGCCCCAATTTAAAACCCTTTCATCTCTGTCCTTTTATTTAGGATCCTTTCCAAATTCTCTGTCTCTTGGGGCGAGGACCTGCCCTCATCCTTCTCCCTATTGCTTTCCAAAACCTCCGCCTGAAAGCTACAAAGAGCACCTGATCCCCACACTCCAGTGCCCTTTTTCCTTTATAGGCTATGTTCACTTAACATCTCTACGTCTTTCTTTTTCCAGTCCTGGGATTGAACCCAGGGCTTGGCATATGCTAAGTGCTCTACCACTGAGCCACAACCCCAGGCCTCATATCATTTTTTACTCACAAATAATGCATGCTGGCTGAAAACGCAAGCTTCTATTTTAGGTTTCGGCCTTCTATTCTCACAGAGACTGCCCTTCCCCACTGGGCAGGAAATGGCCCAGGACCTGTCAACACGGGGTTCTGTCCCTTTAGTATTTCTGGCTCTCTCTGCTGCTTCCAGATGGCTTTGTCCCTCTCTGGAGCCGCCCACTCACCCACTGTGCTCCAGGCCCTACCTGGGGTTCCCTGTGTGCGGCCGGCCTTCTTCCCTCCATTTCCCCCGAACAATCCTTGCACTGCTTGTTCACTCGCTGGTGTCTGAAGTCAGCCCCCCCACCGCTGGAGGGTCAGAGCCTATATTTTGTTCCCCACCTCCCGCCCCCAGGCTGAGCCCTGCTCCTTGAGTACGTGTTTCAGACACTAGGTGGCTGGGGAGGGAAAGAGACCTGGGCCACGTCCCTGTCGGGCAGGGCCATCCCCCAGCCCCTGAGTTCTTGTCCTCTCTGCTGTCCGAGGCTCCTGTTCTGTCTGCCCCTGGCTCTCACACCAGTGGTTCGGGAACCCGTTTCTGTGATCTTCATGAGAGTCCAAGGGTCCAGCAGGGCCTCTGTCACCTCTCCCATGTAGCTGGGGAAACCAAGGTGCTGGGGAGGTGTCTTGGCTACTGGGCGGCGCCTCTCCCTCTCTGGCTGCGGGCAGGACAGCAACCTGGGGGTGGGCTCCAGTTGTCAAAGGAGGGGACCAGGTGGGCCATGCGCCTGTCACGTCCTCTGTCCACCTTGCACAGGTTCTCAGCTCCCTTCCAGACAGGGAAACTGAGGCCTGGGAGGGGAGCTGCTCCACAGCTCTGCTAGGAGGCCGGGCCATCTACAGCAGGCTGAGGCCAGGGAGGCATCAGAGCTCTGCCTCAGACACCTGAGAAGGACTCCTTCTGTGACGTGGAAGCAGACCACTGCCCTGAGTGTGCCCACCCTCCTGGCACTTCCCCCCTCACCCAGGGATGCCCAAGAGAGCTGGCAGTCAGTGAAGTTGGCAAAGGACTTCTGCCTCTGCCACTCCATGCCCTGGTGTGTAAAGTGCGGTCAGGGGTGCCGTTCAGGCTCACGGGATATTCTGAAACACGCGAGTGTGGTGCCCCTTGAAGCCGGGGAAGTGCTGGAATCCACTCCTGTGCGGTGCTCAGATGTCAGGTGCACAGAGACAAAGCAGAAGGCACTGGTGTCTTATGGGGACAGAGTTTCTGTCTCACACGGTGCAGAGGCCTGCGGAGGATGTCTGCACCGCAGTCGAACTGGGCGTTAACAGGCTTACCCGGGCTGAAACCCACGGAGTGAACCCACCCAGGAAAACAAAGGCTCTGGCTGTTGTGAGATGCGGGCTGGGTCCCCTGAGGCTGACTGGGGAGCTGCTGAAGGTGGGTTAGTCATCAGGCCCCAGGCCTCCTGTGTCCCTGCATGGGGCTCCCTCCTCCCTCCCTGTGGCTCCAGCGCCTCCCCTGGCAGGAAGCGGGAGGAGCCTGCAGGTCCGCCCAGGCCGCAGCACCTGAAACCTCCTCTATACACCCAGGCCCACGCCCATCCTCCCTCTTATCAGGTGCCTACTGTGTGCCATAAACTCCTGTGCTAAGGAGCGTCTGGCCTGGCCCAGGTGCCCTGGAGGTGAGGGCTGATGACCACCCTGACTGACCGCCTGCCCCCTGTGCACCCATGGCTTTTTGAGGGCATGTGTGGCTGTGGGGGTCGAACCCCAGGCCTTGATCATGCTTGGCACACACTCTCCCACTGAGCTACATCCCTAGCCCTATCTTGTCTTGTTTGAGTCTGAGTCTCCCTAAACTGCAAGGCGGGCTTTGAATTTGTGATCCTCCTGCCTCAGCCTCCCACTTAGCTGGGACTGCAGGCATGCAGCACTAATACTTTATAGACAGAGTTCCTTAGACTGTTCTGAGTCCCTCTGAGCACTTGCTTGTGCCTGCTGTGGGTGAAGGATCTCAAGCTGCAGCCAGCAAGGAGCTTGCTCCCGTCCCCCAGGGGACTCCCGCTCAGCCCTGCCCACACCTTGGCCGTGGCTGCCCCTTCAGGCTGCTCTGACATGTGGCCTCTTTCTTCACACTCCAGGGGATGAAATCCTTGGATTTGGTGTCTGCACCTTCTTTCAGGTCTTCCCCCAAAACCCTATCAGAGAGGGGCAGTGAGTTGCCCAGAGCTGCACAGCAGAGGTAGTGTACATACAGTTCAACATACCGCCTCCACCAGGGTGGGCCTGGGCCGGAGCTGGACCCCAGCCCTGCTCCTTCGTCGCTCTGTGACCAGCCCCGGGCTCTGTCTCTGAATGTCTGCACCATCCGTCCTCCTCTGCACATGCTCACTCTGAGGGAACCCCAAAGTGGGGGACACAGCTTGGACACGTGCTTGGCCCCCACAGGACCCAGCCAAGGGCTGGACGAAGTTCAGGATGCCTTACGGTCAGCGGTAGGGGAGAGACCTGGACAGAATGGACCGCTTCTTAGGCGGGCAGGGCCTTCCCTTTGCACCCGGGGCCGAGCCCGCTCCTCTGCAGGAGGCTGGTGGCCTCCGTAAACTCACACTGGAGCTATAACGTGGAAGTCACGTCCTGCTTCTCAGCAGCTGCCCCCTCCCAGGTGCCTGGCTCGCAGTCCATGCCAGGCTCCTGGGATCTCAGGGCAGGCTGCTGCACGCCTCGGGCCTCCCCTCCTCTCCCTGCCTCCCTTCCAGTCCCCACGTTGTGGCCTCACCCAGGTGAGGGCCCGCGAGAGTGTCTGGGCAGGAGGGGGCCAGCATGTGATTCACCCTGCCACCCGGAGAGTCCCTTTCCCGGAGAGTGGGCGGTGTGCGGAGCCAGCTGGTCATTAGAGGGCCGGGGCCTTCCTGTGGGCGGGCACGGCCCGGCTGGGGTGCAGGCTCACTGGGCGAGCTGACCCTCACCCGGCTGGCCCCGGGGTGACCCCCGGGTGGACAGGTGGGGTACCTGGGCCCTTCAGACCCCTATCACCTTCACCAGGCAAGCCTACCTCTGCCCCATCGCTTGACAGGAGAGTGACTTTGGGCAGGTGACTGTCCCTGGGCTATCCGTGGTAGGGACCTAGGCGCCTTGGGGCATCAGAGGGAGTCTGGGAGTCTGGGGCAGGGTGCCTGGCACACACGCAGGACCTCAGTCCTGCTGTCTCTGTTGCCACCTCTTCCACACACAAGTGCCCTGAGCCACCCCCTCACGTGGGCCCCTAGCCCGCCTTCTCCCGGGCTCCTACCTGTCCCTGAACCTCGCAGGCTGGGAGCCTTGGCATCTGCACAGGTTCCTTCATGAAGGGTGGGTTTGGCGTGATCAGCGTTGGCAGTGATGAAAATAGGTGGCCCGATCCCCCCTTGGGAAGCCTGCTTCTCTCCCAAGAGAAACAGACCCACCTGACACAGATCTTAGAACCTGCTGTGAAACCTAGATTCTGGGCTAGGAAGTAGTAGGTAAAGAAAAAGCACTATTTTTATTTTAACAAATGTACAAAAAGGGGCTAGGGATTTAGCTCAGCATCACCGCACCAGCCTTGAAAGGGCAAGGTCATGAGTTCAATCCCCGGTACCAGAAACAAAAAAATGTAGAAAGAGCTAGAAGGTTATTTTCTTTTTTTCCTCACTTTTTCTTTTCTTCTTTTTTTTGTTTGAGACAGGGTATTTCTCTATAGTTCAGGCTGGCCTTGAACGCATAAAACTCCTGCTTCAGCCTCTCAAATGCTGGGATTACCGTGCCTACCTTGGAAGGTTATTACGCAGTGAAGAGTTAACGGTGGCTGGTACAGTGGCACCGGCCTGAAATCCCAGCCACTCCTGAAGCTGATTCGGGAAGACCCCAAGTTCAAGGCCAGCCTGGGCAACATGGGGAGACCCTGTCTCTTATTAGAGTTTTAAAAGGTCTGGGGCATAGTTCAGTGGTAGAGCATTTGCCTCGCATGGTTCAATCCTTGCCACCACAAAAGCGGGGGCTAACAGTGGGTAGCTCTAGTGGTGGTTTACAAGGACTTTCCTGCTGTCCCGAGTGACCATCGGGGGAACATGCTCTTCCCGTACGGCCTCGTTGGCGGAGCAGTTGTAAATGCTGAGGGAGTGTTCTTTCTCCAGCTTTTTTTGTTTGTTTCTTATTTTTTGAAGTGGGTCTCACCATGCAGTTCATACTGGCCTCTAGCGCACTGTGTGGCTCAGGCTGGCCTCGAACTCCCAATGATCCTCCTGCCTCAGCCTCCTGAGTCCTGGGATTACAGGTGAGCGCTACCACGCCCAGCTCTTTCCTGACCTGACCTGGCCCAAGTAGCTTTCCGAGTGGCACAGGTGGGGTTTCCCACGTGACTTCTGATCCAGCGTTCCCAACCTTGTCTATTCATTAGCGTCGCCGAAGTCACATGTTACAAATCAGATTCCTGAGCTCCTCCCGAGTCCAGCCAGTTGGACTCTTGAGAGTCTGCTGTGGTCACAGCCCTGGAGCAGTTCCCAGCAGGGCCAGTACAATCGCGCCGTCCCCTGTGCAGTCCCTTCCCGGAGCCTCTCACCGGCCTGCCGTGTGTGAGCCTCCCACCTTTCCTTGTGCCCTGGAGCATTTTTGTACTCGGTTAGTCTCAGGAGAGCGAGTTCTCGGTGACTCACTGGGTGTTTCTTGCATTTGCTTTCCTCACGCACTGGAGAAATTCTCCAGCTCACTGCAGCATCTTCGCAGCAGCTCCTGAGAGTTCGGAGCCCTCTGGTCAGTCTGATGAGCAGCTGGGCGCACTCACTCCGGTGGAATGCAGCGAGCTGCCCGGGTAGCCCTGTTCCCCGGCGCACCGTCCTCCTGTCTGTCAAGAGGGGAGGCGGCCCACCCCCGGCCTGCCGTGCTTTCCCAGGCAGTGGCGACCACATGGTTTCTGCGCGAGGGCCAAGTGGTGGCCACCTGTGGAGGGGCCGGGCACTGAACGCCAGGTAGATGTGAGGTGGAGTTTGGGGCAGTGATGGAATTTTCATGGCCTTCTTCCCCTGAGCCCGGACGCCGGGAACGCCAGGCCACCCCGTGTAACCCTCGTACGGGTCCCTTTCAGGTTGAGCCATGATTCCGGTGACGGAGCTCCGCTATTTTGCGGACACACAGCCAGCGTACCGGATCCTGAAGCCATGGTGGGACGTGTTCACGGACTACATCTCCATCGTCATGCTGATGATCGCCGTCTTTGGGGGGACGCTGCAGGTCACCCAGGACAAGATGATCTGTCTGCCTTGTAAGTGGGTCACCAAGGACTCCTGCAATGACTCCTTCCGAGGCTGGACCTCCGCCTACCCCAACTCCACAATCCTGCCGACCCCCAGCACAGGCCCCACGGGCATCAGGTACGACCTGGACCGACACCAGTACAACTACGTGGACGCCGTGTGCTACGAGAACCGTCTGCACTGGTTCGCCAAGTATTTCCCCTACCTCGTGCTTCTGCACACGCTCATCTTCCTGGCCTGCAGCAACTTCTGGTTCAAGTTCCCGCGCACCAGCTCCAAGCTGGAGCACTTTGTGTCCATCCTGCTCAAGTGCTTCGACTCGCCCTGGACCACGCGGGCCCTGTCGGAGACGGTGGTGGAGGAGAGCGACCCCAAGCCGGCCTTCAGCAAGATGAACGGCTCCATGGACAAGAAGTCCTCCACAGTCAGCGAGGATGTGGAGGCCACCGTGCCCATGCTGCAGCGCACCAAGTCGCGGATCGAGCAGGGCATCGTGGACCGCTCAGAGACGGGCGTGCTGGACAAGAAGGAGGGGGAGCAGGCCAAGGCGCTGTTCGAGAAGGTGAAGAAATTCCGCACCCACGTGGAGGAGGGGGACATCGTGTACCGCCTGTACATGCGGCAGACCATCATCAAAGTGATCAAGTTCATCCTCATCATCTGCTACACCGTCTACTACGTGCACAACATCAAGTTCGACGTGGACTGCACCGTGGACATCGAGAGTCTGACGGGTTACCGCACCTACCGGTGTGCCCACCCCCTGGCCACGCTCTTCAAGATCCTGGCGTCCTTCTATATCAGCCTGGTCATCTCCTATGGCCTCATCTGCGTGTACACGCTGTGGTGGATGCTGCGGCGCTCGCTCAAGAAGTACTCGTTCGAGTCGATCCGCGAGGAGAGCAGCTACAGCGACATCCCCGACGTCAAGAACGACTTCGCCTTCATGCTGCACCTCATTGACCAGTACGACCCGCTCTACTCCAAGCGCTTCGCCGTCTTTCTGTCGGAGGTGAGTGAGAACAAGCTGCGGCAGCTGAACCTCAACAACGAGTGGACGCTGGACAAACTGCGGCAGCGGCTCACCAGGAGCGCGCAGGACCGGCTGGAGCTGCACCTGTTCATGCTCAGCGGCATCCCCGACACCGTGTTCGACCTGGTGGAGCTGGAGGTCCTGAAGCTGGAGCTCATCCCCGACGTGACCATCCCGCCCAGCATCGCCCAGCTCACGGGCCTCAAGGAGCTGTGGCTGTACCACACAGCGGCCAAGATCGAGGCTCCGGCCCTGGCCTTCCTGCGTGAGAACCTGCGGGCGCTGCACATCAAGTTCACGGACATCAAGGAGATCCCGCTGTGGATCTACAGCCTGAAGACGCTGGAGGAGCTGCACCTGACGGGCAACCTGAGCGCCGAGAACAACCGCTACATCGTCATCGATGGGCTGCGCGAGCTCAAGCGCCTCAAGGTGCTGCGTCTCAAGAGCAACCTGAGCAAGCTGCCGCAGGTGGTGACGGACGTGGGCGTGCACCTGCAGAAGCTGTCCATCAACAACGAGGGCACCAAGCTCATCGTGCTCAACAGCCTCAAGAAGATGGTGAACCTCACCGAGCTGGAGCTGATCCGCTGTGACCTGGAGCGCATCCCCCACTCCATCTTCAGCCTCCACAACCTGCAGGAGATCGACCTCAAGGACAACAACCTCAAGACCATCGAGGAGATCATCAGCTTCCAGCACCTGCACCGCCTTACCTGCCTTAAGCTGTGGTACAACCACATAGCCTACATCCCCATCCAGATCGGCAACCTCACCAACCTCGAGCGCCTCTACCTGAACCGCAACAAGATCGAGAAGATCCCCACCCAGCTCTTCTACTGCCGCAAGCTGCGCTACCTGGACCTCAGCCACAACAACCTGACCTTCCTCCCTGCCGACATCGGCCTCCTGCAGAACCTCCAGAACCTGGCTGTCACGGCCAATCGGGTGAGTGGCTCGGCCACGTTGTGGCGTGTAGGCTGGCGCGGCACATGGTGGGAGCCCAGGAGGCCTGGTGTCTTAGTGCTCCTGGCTTTGGAGTCTTCGGCTCTGGTGCGCAGAATTGCCTGGGAGGAGGCTCATTCAAGATTCGGCCTCCCAGAGTCGGGCGTGGTGGCGCATGCCTGTAATCCCAGCACTCAGGAGGCTGAGGCAGGAGGATTGAGACCAGCCTGGGCTACATAGTGAGTTCCAGGTTAGTCTCCACTACATAGTGAGACCCTGTCTGAAAACAACCAAAAGATAAGTGAAAAAAAAAAAAAAGAAAAGAAAAAGATTCAGCCTCCGGGATCCGTCCCACACCAGCCCAGTGGGGATCTCTCCAGTGGGGAGCTGCCTGTGTCTCAGAAGCTACAGGGTTCTGCCAGGAAAAGAGGTGTGGCCAGGCAAGGTCTGTCCCCAAGGTGACCCGAGGCAGGTTGCTTGCAGGCAGGGCTGTGTGAGGCCAAGAGGCACACAGCCTGTGGCCTCCCTTGGGAGCAGGGGGCTGGACTTAGCTCAGAGATTGTGGTGTCTTCCTTAGCTTGTCCCCAGCCAGACCGGGAGCCCAGGAGCCTTTCTGGGTCCAGCTGCCAGGGACAGAAGCTGTGCAAGTGCCCTGCACCAGCTCAGGGAGCCGGATGCTCTGCTTTGCCGCCTCACCCTTAGGGGTGGTAAGGGCAGAGTTGGCCTTAGACAAGGCTGGCTTCTCACCAGCTCAGCTGCCTTCTGTGCAGACCAGTGGCTGGCAGTGTAGGAGGCGACGCCTTTGAGACTGTTGGTGGCGCCTGTGCACCAGTCTCTTGTCTGGCTGGAAGAGCTCCCGTGCCAAGGTTGCTTGGCAGAGGTAGGCAGGCTGGAGTAGCGGGCAGGGTTCTCCTCAGGGCTGTCCTGGGGGGGTGCCCCTGCCCATAGGGGCCCACAGGGCTTCCTGGGCCTCACTCTCAGGTGCAGAGTCTTGCAGGGGGCTGATACACCTGCCCTCTCTGTGCCTCCTGGGCCAGCTGTGTCCCGGGTACGGCTCTGTGGTCCTCCCACCAATAGGCGCTCTCTGCTGAGACCTTGGGCGTGGCAGGTGGGGGCCCCTGAAATGGCCCTGTCTGCCCCTCACTAGCCCCAGATGAGGGCTGGCTCAGGAAGGAAGGCTTCCAAGCTCTGCTGTGCTCTGGTTCCCAGGTCCCTACTGCTGCAAACCAGCCCACTTCCCTGGTATCATGGGAATTGTGACAAACCCTGTGTCCCTATCCCAGATTATGGTTTATCTGATCACTCGCGTGAGTGTGTAAAGGCAAGAGTCAAACCGTAGGTTGTCTCTGCTACAGGTCACTGAGCAGAAAAATCGGAGTCCTGAGAGGAGAGAGGCCATGCTTACAAAGCTCTGGGCCAGACTGGTCTCTACCTTCTGTAGTGTGAGGAGGGGACCCTGAATGGCCTTCCTATGGCCCTGGTTGGAGTCTCGCTGTCCCTGTTGGGTCAGAAGTAATTCCCACAGCCTGCCCGCCTGCTCTGGCCCAGGCACTGGGCCCAGCCCTCCAGGGTGCAGGAGGCACAGGCCAGCCTCCAGCCTGGTCCTCATCCTGTCCCCCATCCTGTCCCCGCCCCCAATTCCTCAAACCAGGCTTGCCTGTTAGCGTCATGCCTGTTGGCTGAGGTCAGCCTTCAGGAAAGGAGCTGGTGGAGGTGCTGTCCCGGAGGAAGGAGCCCCTCTGGAGACCCATTTTAGCACACTGCTTAATCACGTCCTGTCCCCACCCACTGGAGGCTGAGGGCTTTATCGGGAAAAATGTTCACTTGGGCTAGTCAAGGAGGGCATGCCGTTCCATCCTCCTCAGCTGAGGCCTGGTCCTCCTTCCTGCCCTCGGGCTCCCTGACTCCTCGTGAGCCACCTGGCTGCAGTGGACAGGGGTGGTGGGGGTGGCCTGGCCCGAGCCCCTGGGTGCTGCTGTGTCCTCATGTGACATGCGTGCTAATGAACACCCGGCCAGGTGGGTGTTCCTTCCCTCCTTGTCCCCCCATGGCTTGGGCAGATATTTTTTGAGCTCTCCTAGAACCCAGCTGACTCAGAGTGCTGGGGACATGGGATGGTCAAGGTCCCCAGGTGACCCAGTGGTTGGCACGCAGGGGTGGAGAGGAGGAGAGGTCTCGGGAGGGGCCTTTCACCTGCCCTGGAGGGTGAGGAGGAGAGGAGCCTGCAGCTGCCCTGGAATGTGGACTTTACTCCAGGCCAGGACAGGGTTGTGCGCAAGGCCTCTCATAGGCCCCTGGCCTTACTGGAGTTTCAGAGCCCCCTGGCAGCCCATAGGTGTCCTGGGGCCCACAGTGGACCTGCCTAAAGCTGGAGGAGTTGTTCTCTCTGGGCTCAGAGGAGTCCGTGACACCTGCTCCATGAGGGGAGGAGGAGGGCAGGGCTGAGCCCGGCAGGGAGGAGAGCACAGGCCCGGCGTCAGGGTGAGGAGTGGCATCCTCCGGGTGGTCAGGGGGCAGATGGCAGAGCCTGGGGAACTCTCAGAGGCCATGTCTGTGAGGATGGGGAGCCAGTGGGGTCCCGGAGGAGGCCAGAGGGAGCTGGGGGTGAAGGGAAATGACTTCAAGCATCTGTGGGCCAGGGACTTTCAGGAGGGCAGGACAGGTCCACAGCACAGGTGTGACAGTCCGGTGGGGCCTGGGCCGAGCTCCGAGGCTGGGGGCAGGGGCTTCTGAGGAAGGGCCTTGGGGAGGGGTGGCCGGATCCAGACGGACTCCCTGTGGACCCCAGCACTGCCGCTCACTGCGCAGGGCCTTTCCCAGTAGCTGACCACTGTCATCAGAGGAGGCGATGGGGGGCAGAGTGGGTCACTCAGAGAAGCTGGGTCCTGCGTCTGCACGAGCCCCTGCCCTGACCCAGACCCAGAAGCCACGCCTGCCCCGGCTGTGAGCCCTGGCCCAACAGGGTGGTTTCGGACACCGGGCCGGGAGTGTCCAGGTCCCACGGCCACTCTAGCGTCCCTCTTGGAAGGCTGGTTGCTCCCTGAGAACCAGAGGCCATCAGCCTTAGAACGTCCAAGCTGAGAATCATCTCTAGTCCAACCCTCGCATTTTACAGATGGGTGGAAAAGGGACTGAGCTTCCAGGAGTCAATGGCCACAGAGCCCAGACCTAATGCACAGGTGGAGCCAGGTCGAGGCAGGTGACGTGGGAGCCGAGGGCCCCGTGGGACGGAGACGCGCCTCTCTCACTTGCTTTCTGCTCTCTCCCAGATCGAGGCACTGCCCCCAGAGCTCTTCCAGTGCCGGAAGCTGCGGGCCCTGCACCTGGGCAACAACGTGCTGCAGTCGCTGCCCTCACGGGTGGGCGAGCTGACCAACCTGACGCAGATCGAGCTGCGGGGCAACCGGCTGGAAGGCCTGCCGGTGGAGCTGGGCGAGTGCCCGCTGCTCAAGCGCAGCGGCTTGGTGGTGGAGGAGGACCTGTTCAGCACGCTGCCCCCCGAGGTGAAGGAGCGGCTCTGGAGGGCCGACAAGGAGCAGG